AAATAAATTTAAAGGTCTCGTGTTATAAAAAGTTTTAAAGTAAAAATAAATAAAAATTTCCCAAAAAGCCATGTTATTTATCCTAGGTACAGACAAATAAATGCAAATTTTGATTTTTATGGTAAAATAAAATACTTCAATTCAGTAGCTGTTTGGAAACTAAAACAATGTGAAACATGGAGATGTAAATATTAAAACTAATTATCAGCTTTTAAATTTCTGCTTCAAAAAAAGTAATAGCAGAAGAAAATGTACTGAGAAACAGAAAACTTAGATTTGAGTCCTACATTCAACTATATTACCTTAAGCAAATCACCCAGCCTATATCTGATTTAGTTAACTGATTCATACTTCCAAGGGGTTGATTTCGATGACTCTCCAAGATACTTCCAAATCCTAAAATTCTGATTCTCTAACTTTAAACCATATTTAAGGTTTTAAAAAAGTCAAATGTCATTATCTTATTAAAGCTAATAAGACCAAAAAGGGCAGAGAAGAGACTGCATCTAATTAGTATAGCAAAGTCTTACTTGGATTGCATGTTGGACCAACTGGACTCTCCCATCTTTGAGGTGAATCAAACTCACCCCCATCTTCTTCAGGATTTCTAAATGCTCAGGGTTAGTGGCCATGAAATCTCTGGCTCTGAGAGGGGGTTTAGCTCCACTCCTGAAACTCTCCTCTCTGCTGAAAGGAATTATAGGCAAGGCTTAACAAAGTACAAATTAGAATTGGTGAAAAACAGAAACCAAATAAAAATAAAGCTAGATGTTAGAAAAATTGCTAGTTTTAGAACTAGTGAAACTGGAATAACTAGAAACAGTTATTTACCTACATATTATTTAGGTTATTAATAAGTGATATAATTGTAGCTTTCAAATATAATATTTTCCAGTTACAAAAGCATGTATATTATCTATACAAGACAGTATTAGTCAACAGCATTATAACTCTTTGAAGATACAGAATAGTTTTCCTTAGAGATTTATTGTTATTGATGTCTTCTAAAAACACAGACTTTTAACCCAATATTTTAAAAGCAAAACAGTAGTTAAAAGCAAAACAATACTTGTGTCAGTGAATAATAACACTCATGTAAAAAATTTTTTTCTTATTTTCTTGAAATAACCTTTCTAATGTAACTATTTGGAAGAAAATGAACTCATTACACCCAAAATTTTTATTTGTTAAATAAGTATTCCCTCAAAAAATAAAATCAAACAAAACAAAAAAAACTATGTTGTCACTACACAAAAACTATAGACATAAGGAAAAATATTTTCTACACATAACAAGATATGTGGAAATATTTGNAAAAACTATAGACATAAGGAAAAATATTTTCTACACATAACAAGATATGTGGAAATATTTGAAACTATTCTGTGTAAAAATGAGCTACAGAAGTTAAAAACTGTTACATGCTGTCTACTATTATTACTTAATTCATTAAACAAAAGACACACTTCAAATTTCCATAATAATAAAGACATTATTACAAAATAAGCTTTACTATCTAACTTTACTAGTAACTTTTATTTTAATCGCTGATAACTACAAACTTCAACATTTTTGAGCTAAGTGAATGTCTTCTTGGCCATTGTTATATGATCCTTAAGTTCTCTGTCACTTACTAAGAATTAATTTTGATATAACAAATATAAAATAATACATCTTACACTCTGATGATGCCTCTAGGACAACTCTTATCCACCACATTTTTCAAGGGTTCACGAATGCTCTGAGCATACAACGGGTCATTAGGGAAGAGAATTTGAGTATTTGGACAAGTCCAATCAAAATTACTGTCATCCAGTTCTGTATATTCTGAGGTCTACAATATAAAAAAAATTTAAGTAAATAAAAATAATTATGGCTTATTAAAAGGACACATTTAAAGAAATGTATAGAAGATGCAATAAAAGAAAATAGGAAAACATTATATGTACGTTTCCTCCTACCATACACATATTTATTGAATTCTACTTATGGATTTCTTTTCACTTGGAAAAATAAAGCAAACATATAGAAGTAAAAGAGAGTAAGACATTTAATTCAAAAACTCACTGTGTTCTTCTTAGAGATGTTTTGATTTGTAGTAGAGAGCCAAAGAGGTAAGAGATGAGCTTCTGTCGTAAAGATGTAATCTTCTATGTCAAAAATAATGTCTTCTTTATCAGCAAATAATAGGTAAAGATATTTAAACATTTCAGCCAAAAAGAAAGAATCCATCCTAAAATAAAAAGTCAGAAATAAATATAAGAATATAAAAACATCTAAATACCAACTATCTGAGCACCATATAGCCAAGGTCAACAACCCTGTCTACACCTATTTAGATGTCCAAAGAACTACAGAATGTATCAATCCCCCAGTGATAGAATAATAACCTTGACTCTAAGCATATTCCATGGAAATGAAAAAGACCAGAGGACCTGCCTGCCACAGCGGTACACTAAACTTGTCAATAATGCAGACAAGATTTCTGGGTAGGCACTCCAATGAGGGAAATTCTCTGTTTCTTCTACACAGAATCAACAGCAGTGAGATAACCCAGATGAATCTGACTAGAGAGAACCATGTAACCATCTTCAACTAGGATTAAACAGAACTGGATAAAATCATATAATGTTGCTAGAGTTTATTATGTAGTCATTTAAGTGATAAACAGGAAGGCTTTAAAGGTAAAGGAAATCATTTATAGAAAGTTAAATGAGAAAAGTACAACACAAAGTCACATGGACTATGATTATAACTGTAAATATTTATATACGTGTTAAGAAGAGAATGTGGAGAAATAAAGGGGGTAAAAAAAAAATACCTGCTTTTACAATTTAATGTTATAATGTTTTAGTAACATTTTTTAAAAGTTTAAATAAAATGAAAAGTGTCAGAAAGCGAGCACAGCTGGTAGACAGAGCTATAGTAATATCAACTTTAATTTAATTTACTACCTCCCAAAGCATCCTAGGTTTTGGCAGTAATAAATAGCTTGTAGTTTACTGGACAGGTTGCATAGTTTCGCACCTCTGGCCAAGCACAATTCCTGGCATATAGTAGGCACTCAATAAACATTCACTAAATTGAATGCAAGCTTACACTAAAGAATGAGCTGGAGAGGTAGTGGAACACAGCAGTAAAGAACATGGGCTTTGAAAATGGAAAGATCTTCCACTAAAACTAGTTCTGTGACAATGGGGATATTATATAAGGACTGTTAAAGGAACATAATAATACACTCATAGCATTGGCCTAAGACTAAATGAGATACTATATTTCAATTACTTAGCATAGTACCTGGCATACATATGAGCTCAAAGCTGCAGCTATCATTTTTCCTACATATAAATGATTTTTTATTTTGGAGCAAAAACTCACCTGTAATGTTTCACAACTCTTTTGGCCATTTTGGATGTTAATCTTTTCAGAATAGATAAAAACATTTTCCTGTCAACCTCCAATATACTTATAATTTAAAGTTTTTTGAAGGACTGACAGTTATTGTCATAAGCAAACGGTATCTTGAGAACTGTAGACTTATGAACAGGATGTGTGGCAAAATCTAGAACTGATTATGAAATAAATGGTTTGTAAGCGTTTAGAAAAGAATAGGACATGGTAAGATCACTACAATATGAACTGGGTAAAGGTAGCAAGTCAAATATTGTATCATATCTAATTTGTATTTTAAAACCATAAACATATACATGAATGCAAATACAAAGGCATTCAAAATGTCTGGAAGATTTTATTGAATTGCTGAAAAGCGGTTATCTTAGATAGGTAGGGGAGAGTGTCTTAGAAAAGATTTTTTTTTTTTT